CCTGTGTCCTGAGAAAATCTTGTGCCGCAGCTGAGGGGCTGCAACATATATATAGGGATATTTTGTGCTACAAAGCAAGCCACACCTGCTGATTCAGGCAGCATGTTTCTTTGTGCTATTTGCTATCTAAAATGAACTGCTGTTGCAAGCTGTGCCCCGCTCGGCACACTTCAAGATACTTTCTTGAAGACCTTGTGCCACGAAGACCACACAGGGGTTGCTAATGATAGGGATGCATCGATTTGTTATAAACTTGTTGCTCAGGAAGGAACACGGATGCAGACCAGTGTCAAGGTCATCTCTGTAGCTTGATACCCAGGCTGCTGTATTTTTCATACCCTACGCATGTGCTCGACATGCAGGCAGACAGATCTAAGTTATGGCCATTTCATTTAATACACCCCAGGACCTTCGTTTGTGCCCTCGTTCCGCCAAGTCCGACTCATAGGTCTTCACTTCTTATATCAAAGGAAGACTACACGTTCCAACGAGGGCCTGACGATGCCAGAGGGCGGATTTTGAGCCGCCAAACTCACCACTGGTTGGACCTCCCAGCACCTTCAACAAACTGTCAAGGAGGCACCTTCTGTTGGATGGCGCTGCATGGCGCTTTGACAACGTTGGGTTTCTTGAGCAAAAGGAACACGAACTGCTGCTTTGACCCGTCAGGAGCTACATGCATCGCTTCTTCCGATCCTTTGAGCTCTGCAGCTTGGCCGTTCCCACCGCTCCGGAGCTCTCCTTTGTGTCTGCTTTGGTCACCCGTCAGGCGACGAAACGCTGTTTACAGTCAGCATGGAGTCTCCATGCAGTCGCCTGTGTCGCCAGTTGGCCATGGTTTCGTTGATCGTAGGTTGAGCTCGAAATCGACGAAATCTCGACATCTCAAAGATTTCTTTGTGGGGTCATGGCGTGTGAGATGGTTTGATCGCTTTGTATGCATGTTCCGCTGGATTGGAGAGCTTGCTAGCTTATCTCCAAGTCAGGAGCAGCTGGCTCACTTGCCCCTTCTGGGGCAGATTGTCGTGATTCAGGACTGACAGGGAAGGCAGAGCAAATAGGACCAACAGTTTAAAGAACAACAAAACCCAGAACTCTAACACCCTCTTATTCGATCAAGATTTAAAGCTTCGCGAGATAGAGATCAGACCACAGCCAGGGCGTCCCCTTGTTTGAACAGTCACCTGGTAAACTAGAAAAGATGACAAGATACTATTACCAGCGTGGTGTTTTGGAGCTTATCTCATCCAGCTCTTTGGAGAATTCGTTGCTTCGCTCCTTTCGGATGTTTCATTGGTCTCCCAGTTTCCAACCTTGCGCAGAACTGGATCTCCGACCGCCTTCATGGGATCGTGCCCGAATCTTGCTTGGATCAGCCTTTGGTAAAGCTTGTGAAACAGAAGCAGAAGGACCGGAACCCACCCGGAGACACAGTTGTTGATGATTCGGGAGGGACTTGGGAACACTCACCAAACCCTTGTGGCAATTCACTCCAAATCATTCAAATCTCATGTAGATTGACCAATCCTCGCATGAGTTCTGTGGGTCCAATGCCTGTATTCTGCACGTTTTGAAATAACTTCCAAAGAAGGCTGCGTGAGCAGGATTTCAAGTCTTCCCACTATCCATCACTGGCTTGTCTTCCACGGAAGCAGCTTGGTTTCTGGGACCCTCTTCAGGACGCGGAGGAAGAGCGCCACTGTAAAAGAGTCCTCTGCCACTTCGAGAGTTTTGTGAAGAGCTGGAAGCGATTCTATAGGGAGAACGAGGGCAGACTTCCGGTGGAATGTCAAGCTGGCCGAGCTGCGCTGGGTATGGAAACGCAAGACTCATTGCTCGAGGCCGAAAACATCAGCGATATCAAAGTAGGACCTTATAGCAATGGACCCTTAAGAGAACCTGAAGAAGCAGTTTCCTCTGCAAACCACTGGTATAGGAGTTCATCTGAGTCTGCAGGAGGTAACCATTTCACAAGGATTTTGTTCTATTATTCATTTTTCCCTGGTGCAGGCCATTGATGATGAAGATGATGGGACAAAGCTGCCCTTGCGCTTCTTCGTGAATGGAGATGAGAAGTGTCAGTCACAGGTGGGTTCTGTTGACAACGCCGTAAAAACACACGAAGTTGCACCCTGTATGGGTCGATCCTGTGACCACCGTCACCCACATGATCCTGTGTGCCGTCGCCACCGCATGATGCACCGGTCGGTGCTTTGGACCCGCAGGTTGTGGCCGAGTATCTTTGCAGCTTGTGGAATGAGATGATTGCAGCTGCTGCCGCCGTGCTCCGAGAGAGTGGCGGAAACTGTGAGCTCTGGGCCGGACGAATGGAGAGGTGGGAAGAGTTCTGTCTAAGTGTGGGCAGTGAATCATAGTTGTTGCCTTGTTGATGGGCATTTGCCCAACATATCCAACTTGATGTACAAGCAGCTATTCTGCCAAGTTGCTTAGCTGTACTTGAAACCATCTGTGCTTGCCTGACTCCCAATGCAGCTTGGGTCAAAACATGGCCATGAGTCCTGACCACCTTAGATTTTGAGCCGAAATCTCTTCAGAAGGTCCTTCCCAAGGTCTCCCCTATCCTCGAGAACCTTCACACTGACCTTGATGCTTGATTCACCCTGCATGAGGTCGATCCCTCTGGGACTGGCTGACCTTCTCTTCCAAGACCAAATCACCGAAGCCCTCAAGTCCAACGCCTTTCTCCGGCGCAGCATCCTCCGGCACCTGCGCGGGGCGCGGGGCGTGATCGCACCTTTGGTCGACTGGACCGCCGTGCAACAGGCCGGGCGGAGCGGAGCGCAGGGGGTCCGCCCTGACGACCCAAGACCCTAGAGCCAATGAAGTGCCCAGCACAGTTTGGTTGATCCCCAACAAGAAGCCTTCTTTTACAATCGCTTGGCCATGTTTCACCATGGGTCGACTACGACTGTAAACATGACCCAACACTACCCAGTTCGAACTCATGGCGCCAAAAAGGAGCCTCAACTTTGCTGCCTGGATTCCGACTCCTCCCCCTGTCATCGTCACGTCTCGTCACGTCGAAGCGCCTGTGAGAAGCGAATGGGAGGAGATCTTGAGCTCTGCCTGGGTGCATCGTGTGCAGAAGTTGGACCTTCCGCCCTTCTCTCGGTTTTGGCCTCGACCTGAGACGAAGGCTGTCTCCTTTGATAGCACGGCGCCGCTGGATGCAGAGGTCGAGGAGAGGAAAGAGGGGAAAGATAGGAAAGGGATGGAAAGGGTAAAGGGTAACTGTGACCTGCGGAAGACTTGGATTCTCAGTTCGAATCTTCCCCGCTCTCCAAAATCGACCGACGTCGCATCGGACTGGTGCAGAGACTGATGTGCAGCCTGAAAGCATCTGGAAGCACAAGTTTCCTCATCCCGGTAAAGTGGACTGCGTGACAAACAATGCGGGTCCAGTCCAGGCCAATGGTTCTTGAGACCCCACAAAGAATGCATGCACTGGAGGTCACTCAGAGAGAGGAGGGTGCAATGTCAATCGCCCTGAGAAGGAAGAGAATGGCTCAGTGTGAGCAATAAACACCTCCTATTTTACCAGCCGAGCTTGAGTTTACAAACGTTTTATCACTCGGACGACCAGCTTTGCTTTCACAAACCTCCCGCCCGTTCCGCGAGGAGAGGGTCATGGAGTTTCTGGCGCAACTGCCCCTAGTGGAGCTTCAGTCCTGCAGAGAAGAGATCGCTCGAATCAGTTTGCATGTGGGCGACTGGGCACGTTCAAAGAGCTTTCAGGTGTAGAGGTCTCTCAAGAGAGAATGACGTTATTTCCACCCTCTTTCCGATTGTTGCGGATGGACCCGTTCTCTGTGTGTCGGGAACTGCAACAGGGGTTCCACGTGTCTGTTTGTGGCGAAACTTCCGGGATTGTCGTGGGAGCAGGCCACTAGTGCTGTCGTTGGACCAGCGACTCCAAGTTTCATCACCAGGTGACGCCGATCCACGGAAGTTGGTTCTGGAGATGGAGGAGATCAGCCAGCTGAGAGCAGTACTGCCTGAGCAGGTGCGCGGGGGAGTTTCATCCTGTTGAGCGTTCAATTGAGAGATTCATGTGGAAACCTTCCTAGATTTGCAAGGCAAAGCACAAGGCATACACAGGGAAATCATGAAGGGCTGATGGTCACGCTTCCAGCGCTCTGCACTTCTGATCTAAGCTTTGTTTGAGAGTATCGAAAAAAGAAAACCAGGCTTTGATGACCTGTGCTATGAGAAAGACTGAACAAGACAAAGAAATCCAGGAAGAGTACGGTACTTGGTTTAGTCATTCAGTCAACCCTAGAACGTGAGAATTTAGAATCCTTAAGATTACAATTTGAAGAGAAATCAGCATTCATATCCACAGGCAGTCGACAGGTTTGAAGAGGATAGATTGGATCTCTTTTGACCAGGTTTGATGTTCCCTCCCAAGGTCACTGCCTTGCTTCGTGGCATTCGGGTCGGGGCGCTGAACGGGCTTAGAGAAATCCTTGACCAGGACAGCTACTGGTTGGGTCGACATCACACTGGGTGGACCATCAGCCAAGTGGTTTTTGGTTGGTGGCTTCTCATAGTCTTGAGCTGGTCTTACATCAACACCTTGAACCATCTTGATAATTATAGCTTGTCCGCGCAGCTTGAGTATAGTGTTCAGTTATTGTAGTTGTTGTTTGGCTGTTGTGATACTAGTAGTTGCAGTTGCAGTGTTGGTGGTGCTTGTGGTGAAAGTTGCTGTCTTGTTACTTCATGCCAGCTCTTCGTTTTCTTCTGTGCATTGTGTTTTCTTTGTTTTTGTCGTTGTCATTGGTAGGATTTCATGCTTTGCACACCACGTTCAGACAATAACCATGTCGTCTCTCTCTTTCTCCCGCTCCATGTGTTGAAAAGGAGAACGGGGAGTTCAGCCACCTGTCCAAAGTCTTCATGGCAGCTCCACCCACTGAGATTGACCTCACTGCGTCGCTGGCGCGTCACTTCCGGATCCGGACAGAGGCCACCCGCACGGTGCATGAGCTGGCAGGCAGGGATGCCGACCTGCGGGAGACGATCACCAACCTGGAGGCAGGGATGGTGAATCGAGAGCTCCAGAGGGCACACCAAAGAGATGCAATGCACTGATATAGATTCAATCAGATTGAGATAAAGATTTACAAGACAATCAGCCATGGCCTCATGGTCTTGAGATTGCCTAGAGCGAATCAGTGATGCATTCGCCTCCAGGAGAGCGGCTTTTGTGCCCATTTGCTGACTTCTCCCAACACTCCATTGCTGGAGGTCTACCAGGCAGTGTTTCAATGCGAGGGTGTTCTCAGCCAATTGCCCTGTCAGATTTTGGGTTGTCACTTGGTGGCGGTGCTTCAATCCCTGCGGGTCTTGCTCCGTAAAGTGCGAGCCCGGAAGTGCGCGTTGGACCGCTGCACCTGCTGGAACCCTCGGGAAGGGATCCAAGCGCTGTCCAGTTGGGCAGAAGATGAATCCAGAGGTCCTTGGTGGGAAGACCCGCAAGGACCCGGAAGACACTCATGTTGAGTTCATGTATGTTTTAACTGCTTCAAAACTTCAGAAAGCTTGACATGCGAACATGCGGAACACAGCGCAGGATCAGAAGAGGTGACCAATGCGGCTGAAGACGTAGCTATAGTGACCCTAGCCCCAGAGACCATGCTGCCATGGGTGTGCTGGGCATGTGGGACAGAAGAGATTCCAAGTCACTTGGTACATGCACTGGACCCACAGCTACGACACGTTCTGGAACATTGCGGCTTGAAAGTGGAAGAGAAAGCTAGGCCACCAGGAGCCCGTTTTCCTTGCCTTTTGTGTCAAGAGTCGGTTCAGGGGACGCGATAGGTTGGATTGAGGGTCCTCTGACTTGGTTTCCGAAGCAAAAAGGGGGTTTGAAGGGGTCGTGATGTTTCAGGAGATCCTCTTGAAGCAGAGAGGAAGCTGAGCAAGCTGTTGGATCTCTTTGAGAAGCAGGTGAACGAGTTCGGACTCTTGGTGTCAGTCCCCCGACCTCGGCACGGGTTCTTGGGACCGGGTTCCTCATCAACGATTTTAACACCCTATTCTGCATATACCTGTCCTTTATGGGTTGTACCTTGCGAGGAAGATTACTGTAGGCTCTTGATGGATTTGTGAGGGCTGACGCGATGCGGAGTCTGCCAGGAACGGTTAAGAACTCCAGTTGGCAGAGCTCCCTCTCGGTGAAGGTGGCTCACTTGAGGACTCTGCTGGACTACAAGGACTCGTTCCTTCGGACGGTGATGCCGATGGTGACAATGTGATGACAATGAGCCGTTGTGGAGGAATGTGAAGTGTTGAGCTGGATTCAAGTGTGTTGTCAAGCTTGGTGTGTTGTCACACTTCACAAGTGCGTTGAGCGTTTCTTCAACACGGACTGTGTTTGCTTGGGGTTTTCGATGAATGCCGTTCTCCAGGAATGCTGTCGAGAAAAGCTGGATGAAGAGCTCTGGCGTCTTGCATCCTCAAGACTTGGACTTCAGGGCGGCTTCTTGGAGACTTCAACAACTCATTGGGTCATGCTAGGTGCAGGGCGAAACAAACGGCAAAAAGGCAGACCAAGAGCAAACAAACACGAATTCATTGGAGTGCTCAAGGCTTTTGGCATCCATCCAGACCAGTTCTTCTTCCAGAAACGACTCGGAAGTGATCGCTTCACTGCGAAACGACTCTGTTCAAGAGCTCATCTGCCATGATCAGGTGATCGTTCCATCCGAAACGAATCCCACCGACCGCCCGACCGTCGCCGGCCGTTCGAAGCACCGAGACTGCGCCCTGCGGGGCGCCTGGCGGCGCTTCGTGGGGGGCTTCGCGGCCCATGCCTCGGAGGAGCTGGAGGAGGCACGGCTTGGACCGGTGGATTCTTCGGTTTTAGATGGTCAGAAGACGCTAGTAACAAGGGCATCGCCACTAGTAGCTAGGGCATTACTACTAGTAGCAAGGGCATTACTACTAGTTACTAGTAGCAAGGATGGTTTTGGTGGGTTTTGGCTGGGTTTTCGGGGACGCGTTTTGAGACCAGGAGATGAGGAGACGAAGCGTGACAGGAGGAGTAATTAGGAGGAGCAGGAGGAGTGAAGATCAACGTAAATAGCTCGGGATTGAGATGATGGGATGCGGAAGAATTGGATGGAGCTGAAGAAGGGAGACCAAAGCACCCACAGGCTTGCCAGTCTAATTTTCCCCTTTACAAGCGTGTTTGGATGGTACTCCATTTTTGACCACAGCTATTTGGTGCTTCTGCCTGCGGATTATTCTTTTGCTCATGTTTGGGTGAAACTTTTTGAAGACCCGAAGGTCGCACTGTGCACCTTGACTCATTTTGACACAGTCAGGCTGTTCGAAGAGTGGTGGAGCTGCCGCTAATTGTGTCTATCATTAAGGATGCGGAGAAGTATACTTTGGAAGGCCGGCGCGCCAGCTTTGTGGCATCCTCTAACCAGCAGGGCAAGTCACACAGGAAGTCCATCTGGGCCTCGATATACAATGTTATTTTCTACCGAGAGTCTTAGTGACAACACGTTAGTTTGGATTAGTTCTTCTCGCCTGCTTCTTTGGCAGTCGTGCAATGTTATGCCAAAGCAGATGCAAACGGTTGAACGCCATGTTTTCCTGACACGTGCTCAGAAGCTATCCTGCGAGCTCCCTTAAAGCAAGGTAGTACATGGGAGGATGTGATGGCGTGGGAAGCGTCGACTGGCAATCCATCGCTTGCACGAGTTCCGCCGGAGGCAGCAAGGTCTTGCTCCGCTACAAGAACCACTACTACCAGCTGGACTTGATACCTGAGCCCCAAGCTGAAGCTGCAGATGCAGGCTGGATTGGATTTCGTTCATATTGCAAGATTGGGAAGAAGCAGGTGCTATCGATCGCGATTTGGGTTGGATTCTTTTTCAAGGTTCCTGGGATTCCCGGGTGGGTCAGCCGATCATTTGGAGGTAGACGTGGCACATGTGAGTGAGGTGTACAGAGAGACATACCTCGTCAGTGCCGTGGGTGGGACCGCGGAAGGGAAGGCAGAGGCAAGTTGAGATTTCTAGAGAAAAGCGCAAAACAATTCAATAAAGCGCGGACAAGTAGACATTTCTGACAAGATAAACAAATAGAAAAGTAGATGTTGTTGGAGACAAGTGCAGACAAGACAAGTCCAGATTTCTAGGGAGAAGGCAGGAACCTTTGGAGAGGACAAGAGAAGAAAATTAAAGATTCCAGAGAAAGGCAAAGAAAACATCGTAGACAGACATACAGGACAGTTCAGGTTTGGAGAGCAAAATGCGAAAAGATGTAAAAAAGTAGAGGTTTCTATGTGAGCAACAGCCAAAACGTCATTTTGGAAACTTGGCTAGTACCTGCAAAAGCGACAAGTCCCCTTCCAAAGCGATAACCGTGTTGAATCATGTCCTCTTCGTTACAAGACGTTTTGGAAGGCGCTCTTATAAAAAACCGAGTACTTCATGACAATCTCGCAAAGCACCAGGCTACACTCCAAAATGATCACCGCGTTATGTCCCTGCGTGACAAAGTCATTAAGATATTCTATTGGGCCTCACCACCCGACACTATTACCATCGACATTTCGCCAACTTCAAGTTAACTAGATCACAATTTGCCGCTTGCACAGCACCTCAGTATCTTCCTGCTAGATCGATGTAGCAAGACGACTCTTTGCTCACTGGCTGCTTTCGCTGCATTGCCTGGTGTGCCGCTGAAGCGGTCGCAAAAGGTATTCATATCAAAAGGTATTCATTGCAGGCTTTGGCTAAGTCTCTTGGCTGGAAGTAGACGCATGACTATCGTCACTATCCGTCTATCGTGACGATCGGGTACAGGAGACGTGTTTGTTCATAGAGTGCCAGACAAGTACTTAGCTGGATGAGCAGCTGGATAAATGCATGAACCGCCGTGCTAAGTTACTAGGACACATCCTCCGGAGTAGTAATCATGACCCAATGCGACAGGTTTCACATGTCCCCAATTCTGTCTAGAGTGGATTATGGCACACCAAGACAAAACTGGCTGCAAAACAAGCTCTTCGACGTTACAAATTCACACCCTCTGCCAGGATCCATTGATGATCCTCTCCAGGTGCTGCAGCAAGAGGGTGGTGTACTTGCCATACGGCTTAGGTTCTATTTAGACCAAGAGATCCTTTCAGTCATGTAAAGAGGAACCAATTCATGTACTTAAAGCAGGTGGATTGCCTCTCGGGTGTCCACCTGGGCGCCCGCGCCAGGGCGAGGGCGTCGCCGAGCCGCGGAGCTTGACTCAGCGGTTTCTCCGGTTTTGTGCGTCGATGGCGGCATCTGGGCGAAGAAGAGCAGTCGTTTTTTTGCAAAGCAATGAATTTTGGAGCAATGGGGACGTGCTGGGGGAAGTGGTGCAACAAAGCCCCCCCAAACAGTTTTGGAGTGGGTGTTCACTGACATTGGCTGATGTTACAGCATTGACAGAGAAGCTCGCCAGCTCACGAAGGTCATTGTGTGACAAAATGCTCGGTCGCGACTGCGGCAGCCGTCCAAGCCGCTCGACCCCCGCCGCTGTGCGCTGAGGACCGTTCCTGTCGGAAGAGGCTTGCTGAGAAGCCGATCCAACAACTGGAGGAGGAGAGTGGCGGACGAAACGAGGGTCCCTGTTGAGGAAGATGTCAGCGTACTTGTGGCAAAAGAGAGGGATGCCATGAGTTCCAAGTGCTGTGAATTGAAGGGTTCACTGGTCTTGGGTCTTAAGAGTTGGTATTTGGGAGGGTTGGTGTCTGTGCAGGTTTTCCTCTCGCTTTCTTTCAAAACTTCTGAAAGCGTCTGGCAGGAATCGTCTGCACGCGACCGCAATGAGGCTGTGGGTCTGTGGAGCGATTTGTCATGGATGGACACGGTTGAGGCTGCAAGGGTTCTCCCATCCATGCTAACAGCATCAAACCCTTCAATACCGAACGATAATCCTTCATAGCCGCATGACCGCCCGTGCAGATATATGGTTCAAAGACAATTTTTTTATGCGTCGGACGTACCGGGAGCTGATCTGAACCTGAACCTGATGTTGATACAGAATTTAGATGAATTTAGACTGTTTGCAAGCTGTTTCATCGAAGCACAACCAGTGAGGCTTTCTTTGGAAGCATGTTTAAGCACATGATCCCTCACTCGCTGCTGCAAGTCAGGAGCGGCTCTCCAGAAAGAGGGTTGCTGACAAGCCAGTCGAAGTGCTGGAGCAGGTGCCACTGGGTGCGCTGGGTGAAGGGGTGAGTCTGGCGAGACGAACAGTCCTTCCTTTGTTGGAAGTGGACCCCGTGGACCCCGCAGACACGTCGATTGCAGACTCGGCTCTGGCACAAAGACCCCGTGTCAAGACTCTGGCTTCGTGCCCGACTGTTGCAGGAGCTCCATTCCCAAACAAGGGCCGCTGACAAACCCATCGGACTGGAGAAGGTGTGTGAAGGGATGGGATTCGACGATGAGATGGGTCAACACCGACCAACACCCGTGGGACAGTAGGTTGCTTTGTTCATATCTGCGAGACCAAAATACTGAAAAGAGGCCAAGAGAACGGAATCATTCCTTGGCTCCTGCCTTTAGGGCACCCTTCAGGGCACAGCTTCGATCATTTTTTTGATTGTCATGACAAACCAGGAATTGTTTGGCTTAGAGGCATCCCTTTGAACGAGGTTATTTCATGTTATTTCCAAGTGCTGCATGTGATTTGCATTCAGACAGGAAGAGATTTCGTCGAACCCTTTCCACGCATCCATGGTGCGGAATGGTTGTTTCAGTTTCACCACCATGTTCCTTTGCGGAAATCTGAGGGCTTTCGGTTTCAGTATCGGTTCTGTCCTGCGCTGAGCTGAAGGACATCACCGGCGCTGCAGGCATCGGGCTCTTGGCTAGTTCCGACTGGTAGCAGTGCCAAAACGTCTTTGGTTTACAGTAACTTGTGTTTCAGTTCCAAGGAATCGTTTATTGGTGTTTATTGACAATATATTATTGTGTCATGTTCTGTCTAAGTTTGCTGACATCGGGTCTAACCCTGAGGACTTCTGTGAACCCTGACGAGCCCTTCATGTTTGTTAACATGGGAACTGGACACACGAGACGCAATCCAGTGCTTTCTGTTTGATCAGTCATGACGACGCACGGACCTTTTGCCAACGACGGTTGTCCGTCCGGAGGCGACGAAGCTACGAACGAGTTGACTAAGATCGAGGAGGATGGTGAGGAGGATGAAGACAGCTGGGATATTGTTTAAATTGAACATACTGACGTATGTGCAGAGTTCATTGATGTATGTACATACTGGACATAGGTTGGTTGAGGGCTTTGTCCCTTTCAATCAACATGGACCTGCGAATTGCCCAAGAAATGGCCTAGTAGGCAGCTAGTTGCATAGTTTCCGTGCACAAGACACGATTCTTGGCGCTGAATAAAGGTTCAGACAGGTTGAATGCCCTGGACGGGTTCTAGCTTACCGAGATGCAATAGATTCAGAGACTCAGCAGATGCGATTTTATCGTCAGCTTCGACCTAGTGACACTGGAGGTCAAGCCAGTCTCGCAGTGTCTGCTTGCTAGCTAAGTCATGCTAAGTTCCGTTTTCAGCCTAATTCGCCCTCTGCTTCGGCTCAAGAAAGGCGATATTATGCTGCCAAATCCTGTTGTATTCTTGTTTCTATTTGCCGAGCTCTCGAGCAGTGTGAGGCGAAGCCATGAATGGACTGAGGGGGAGGCAATGGAGCTGCTCCTGAGAGCGAAGGAGAGAGCTCACAGAGATGCCGAGGGAGACCGTGCAGATGTTCGTGAACGCATCTCCAAGTGCGGAGGGAACCTAGACCATATGGCAGAAGAGTTGATGGATGCCTTTGTCAAAGAAGCACAAAGTGCACCTTTGACCATCAATTTTGATGCTGCTCGCTACGTGAAAGTAGCAGAACAGAATCAGGGTATCGCGGCCGATCAGTTCAATGCTAATGTCATGAACCTCTGGCAGCTAGCTCTTCTGCCGCATTCCCCACTAGGGGATCGAGGCATCAGAGACCGTCAAGATTACAGCTATGCCAACCAACGCTATGACACGGAAAAGTGGCTTTGGGGCTTTACCAGTGCACCTGAAAGTTGGAGCAATGCTGGAGAGAGGCCTCTGAGTGTCGGATTGGGGGTCTTTGAAGCAGCTCACCTTAATGGAGTAGCAGTCTCATTGACCTACGGCTCTTCAGCCCTTTTCCTGTCTCCCAAACTCCGGGAGCGTATGACTCTCATAGGAAAAGACGCCAAAGTGGCCTTCGCAGATCTCGGAATGCCCAAAGACTATGATGCCAGCTTCCCGGAGTGGGAGCCCTGGAAGCCACGACCAGCTCCGAAGCCGACAGATCCCATCCTGCAAATCCCCAAGTTGGAAGCTGCGGGAGGATTGCCTTACGTGGGCACTTTTGACAACCCCTTAGCAGCACTCAAGACCGTATCGTGCTCATTGCTGAGACGGTGGGCCGACTACGTAGCCTCTGGTACGGATGTGAAGGCATCAAGCCGATTTGAATATCTCGAGGCCAATATCTTTGGGGGCGTTCGCTTTGCTGAAGATGTTGAGAAGGCAGTCGTGAATATAGAGACCTTCAGCCCCCCTGAAGACATTACCGCGCTGGATTTGACGAACAAAACCCTTGCGTTGCAAACTGTTTGGAACAAGCTTAATGTCACGACGCAAACTTCACTGAAAAACTCATCTTGGTGTGGGATGTGGCGTCTTGGCCGTGAAAGGAACATTCGACGTTTGTCCTGGTGCATTGCCGTCGAGATCTCCGAGTGCATTCGGGAAGTCGACGCGACAGATGATTTGTCCTGTTTGGCTTGAACTCATGGCCACAATGGCTTGTAATTATCCACAAGTCATGGAGAGCAAATTTGCTCAAGAATCACTCAAGAACATCAAGAACTGTGAAAAAGGTCTAATAGATTCGGTCTGGTAGACTGCCGTGGGATTTGCGTCTTTGGGCAGATAGAACCTGGTTGTCTTCGTGGCCGTTTCAGCGGTTCAAATACCGCAGAGGGTGCAGCCTGAAGATTCGAGATTGGCAGTCACCGTGGCCTGATTGAACGCCCTTCTCACATTTGATGCTTTCATACGGAAGTATAAGGATTGTAGAAAGGGAGATATAGTAGCACTACCATTTGTTATCATTTGTTTATGTTTCAAAGACATCTTTTTGTTCTCCAGGTGCTTTGCTTGACCTGATACCATCCGACGCCAATTTAGAGCAACATTTGTCCTTCTTAAGTCCCCTGTTGTGTCATTTGATATGTCAAAGTGGACACATGCAGATGTGGGTTGCCTTGACTGTTTGACTCAAAGAAGAGATGTATATATATATATAGTTATATAGATGCTGTCACACTCTTCGTCAGCTTAAGCAATGCGACGCCAGGCATGGACAGCGAAAGCTTCGGTTTTTTGGTGGAGTGGTATGACTCGCAGGCGCTTAGCGCAACTAGGAGCTGTCTTGGATACACACGTCAATGTTTTCAAATGCTTGGAAAAGACCAATTCAAATATGAATTTCATGACTCCTGGCTATTGCTTGGGAACAGTGTCAAATTTGGTCTCATGCCAGCACATGGCAGGCAGATCTCATGCGGGAGTGCGCGTTTTTTTTCAGGGGCCTTGCCAGCCGAAAGCCTCCAGAAAAGGAAACAGTGGAAGATCTCCAAGATTGAAAGCCTTCAGAAGGGGGATGCAGTTGGACGAAATGTTTTTTAAATTGTTTGTTGGAGTCAACCAGCAGATCAAGGTAGGGCACTATGGCCCTATGAAAGGCTTTGGCCTAGCCCTGCCACCCTCCAGGTACCAGCTGACGGTGTTCAAGCCGCAGAAAGGGTCCCTAGAAGCTGCGATGTATGCACGGTGCCTGAGAAGAACTCTTGAAGTTAGTGGCCTCACAGTAGTAGCAACGGCGCTACTACGGGCTCCTGGCATCGCTACTAGGAACAAGGACGCTACTGGGGGCTCCTGGCCTTACTGCTAGGAGCAAGGGCGCTACTAGGAGCTTCTTGAGATTGTTGTATACAGCTCGGATCTCCAGGTTTTCGTGGCTCACCAGGAGCTCAAATAGGTCCGTAGGGGAGGGTCCCTTGTGAACATTTTTGGGACTAACACAAGGAACAAGGAGATTCGGTTCGATTTGATCATATCAACTTCATTCAAAATCATTAGACCATCTTAATCAATTTCGCCACCCTGGACCTTGGAAATTGGTACCATCCTTAAGGCCCCCCTTCCGCAGGACTCCCCACACCTTCAATCGGACCGACGAGCCGGGACCGGCTTCCGCACACCCACCAAGGACCCGAAGGCACATCGAGGCTTTCTGAAGCGAGTGGGAGACTCAGATGGCGAGAGCGCATGCTGGAGCACATGCCAAGCCCATGACTTGGGGTCCCATGTCATATCGAGCCATGTGAGAGGTGAGAGGTGAGAGGTCTTGGAGCTACTACGGCAAATGGTTTTTGTTGACGTCGTGCCAAGGGTTGGTTGAGAGGTGTCAGGTTTGTGTCAATGATTCGTTTTGCTTCACACCTGTCCCACTTGTCCTCCAACCCCTCAATGCCCAGCTCTGCCCAGCTCTGTGGGCCCTTGATATGTTTTGATGGGCCCTGCGAAGCGCCGTCCTGAGACCCCTGTTCCTAGCTTGAAGATGGAGGACTTGCTCGTTCGGACCTGAAGAGGTTCAGAGATCAAGAAAGAATCACCTCAAGACTTGGGTGAATTGCGGTACTGGCCTGGCGAAGGCCTGAAGAAGAGGTATTTTTGAGAATCAAAAACTGGTGCACAGCGGCCACCTTTTGACCATTGAAAGAAAGATAGGTGCAGAGTCAAAACGCTGCCTGAATTCTTTGCATCGTCAAAACATGACATGGCTCTTCACAGAGGTTGTGAGGCTGACAGGTGGTGATGAATCCCACTGATAGGATGTTTTTTGCTTTATGCTGCATCACCTGTCCACAGCAAATATTCTGTTTGAGAAAATAAAGAACTTGCAACACTTGGCTTGTCACCCTGAGGTTGGCAGCACGGTCACGATTTATGCCCGACATTTGAAGGCCCTGTCGTGCACCTCAGGAGATCTTGGACTCGTCTTAGGTGGAACGTCGGCGTTTTTTTGTTTTCCAAGTTGATCTTGTCTGACACGGCATTGTGCAGTAAGAGTGGATAGTTTCACAGAGATCTGTACGTGCAGCGCGCGTGCAGGTCAAAGCCTATGCAGACAGCCACACGTCTCGGGCTCGTTGCATGTTGGACATGCAGACATGATCAGTCCGCAGCCTGAAGCTGAGTGAAGCGACTGAGGCGCAATGCACTGGAGTGCAAGAGGGCGTCGTTTGTGGCCAAGTCTGCCTTGTTTGGTCATAGTCATAAGTCATTCAACTTTTCAATGAGGTTAGCAATCCTCTTGCAACCTCCTGCATTCCCACAGTCAAACTCTCAGTTCAAGATCACTGCAACATGCCGGTGTTCGGACGTACTTGGGTCTTGAGACGTCTTGAGACGGCTTGACATGCACAGCTTGGTAAGGCTTGGTCAGCTGGTCAGCTGCATTGAGTCGGGCGGCTTGAAAATCCAACGGCTCCGCGGGGCTCTCAGTCGATGCCGTGCGATTTGGCATTGAGCGAAGTATTTTCTGTCCTCACTAGCAGATGTTATCAGTCTCCGGATATCAGTCCTTTGAGTACAACTCCAAAAATCGAGTTTACAGACTTGTAGAGAATTCCATCACCTTTCAATAGCCTCATGACCTATACCCTCCCCACCAAGGCCTGGTGAACGAAAGCGGACCTGTTGTGGCCTTGGAGGCGCGAAACCAGCGGAACCCGTTGTGGACGCTCGCCGAGCGGCGCGGGCGATCGTCGGCCGCAGGTCGTGGGGGATGATGCGGATCTTCTCTGGAGCCAAGCATGTCAGATCTCCTCAGACTGGTAGGGGATTGGTGATCTGAAACGACGGGGTCAGACGGGTGTTTTTAGCCATGACAGTTGAGAAAGTACATTCTAACCTAGAATCGGAAAACGTCGAAGATCTGATGGAAAAGGACAAGTGACCGGGGAACTAAAAGTAGTTTAAGTAGATGTACACGTCCACACCACTGATCTTGTTGAGCATTTTTTTGGCACCAGCAGCTTCATCCAGCTTCACTTGTCCTGAGGTGGTCATGTTCCCGCCACAGCCTACAAACAGGTGCAGAATGGCTCGGTCGCGGGAGACCCCGAGGGCGGTCGGTCTCGGTCTCGGTCGTCCAGGTGCCACGTGACCAGATCGAGCCCTATTTCTGTGACAGGGACCGATGGGACGTCGGTCGGTCGTGAGGACATGTTCGGGTCGTCGGTCGAAGGATGAGAATGATTTCGAATCACAATGAGTGCAGGCATAGAACATGAAGAACATGAAGTGAGATAGTTGCCTCAGGGTGGCTACACAGAGGGTAGTATCGCTACGACGGAGCTTCAACATTTGTCATATTGGAGCTGGTCGATGAAGGGCAAGCTTGGTGAAGAGCTTGCAGAATCCTTGGAGCCTTTTGGCCTAATTTTCGTCGCCAGGAGCGTTTCCCCTGCACTGCGGCTTTTGACCACTGCACGTTGTGCATCATCAGGCTTGACATAGAACTATCAGGGTGTCCAAACGATTGGAGTATGGCGCCCTGCCTCCATGCTTCATGTTGGGGCCATTTGCAAGCCCTAAACATGCCTGTCACATGATGCTCCACGGCGTTGTCTTCTTCAACCTCAATCTTCACACACAGACACACCATTTCTTTTGGATTGATCCATTTCGAACGGTGGTTTTAGATGGTCTGACCCTCCATTTCAACCCCCAAAAACAGAGTCCCTCATGACTCTCCCTCACCCCCTCGGCTGGAGGCCGCATGCCTTGAAGGCCGGGAAGGCTGGGGAGATCATGATGGCTATCCAGTCCGCTGGCCTTGAGATCTCCGCCGCGTCCGGGACCCCATCGGTCGCGCGGTCGAGACACCGACGTGTCGCGGACGGGACCGTTGGGTCGGTGAGACCCGACAGACGAGTCGGTCTTCTCGTGTTGATGTGAGCGTCCGACACGTGGAGATGCAGGTTTTGGTGATGATGTGCAACTGCACAGGAAAGTTTGGAGCTGTCCGAATGCAAAAGGGATTGCAAGTTCGATGAATGTGGTGGCCCAAACTGGGTTCCGCGTCCTCAACCTTTCAGGGGTGTTCATCGATACTTTGTCTCAACAGGTAAAAAGGCACTGGGGTCAGATATACTTCAGGGGCACTTGCCATCCGCAGAAGCTGCTGCAATCAACCGATGCAGTCCTCCTCATTGTCTGGGATGCGCTTAGTATACATACGTTACATAAGGAATAGAGACGAAGAGACTCAGTTAAGCTAGTCTGAGTCTGAGTTATACCTCACTCCTCCAACCGGCACAGCTAGATTAGATGTAGGACTATGAGACGCTCCTGCAGCCTGCACCCGATATGCCTGGCGCAGCGAACGAAGCAGCTCTCAGGGAGATGCTTCATCTTCAGCACGCAGAAGCAGCCGAGCTGTTAGATGTGTACAAAGGAGCCTGGGGCCCGGTTTTGTGCCATGATGTTGGAGATCAAAAGAGCTGGGAAGCTGGCGAAATGCAAGACTCCGCTCTTGTGCTCTGTGACTATCAGGTCGTGCCCTACCACAAAGAGATGGTGGATGGCATGAGCATCGCCCCAATGTTGGCATTAGTCCGGGCACTCGGAACGGATCGAAACTCCATCAACCATGCGGATGCCGACTGTGACCGTGCTATGCCCCTGTTTCTTCCTGGGCCTTCCAGGACCAAGACCAATCAACACCGCACACCTTCTTGGGTTGTTGACTTAGTCACCCCATAGGCCATAGTAGCTAGTCCGTAGCGATGGCCTCCAACCTAATCAAACTGTCTGGTCACCCAACACCTTTTGGGCTGATCACCCCACCCCAGGAGGTGCGAGCAGAAGATGCCGCCGTGGCGCGGGGCTTGAACCCGCGGTGAAGCGCCACGCTCGAGCATGGTGAAGCGCCACGCTCGAGCATGGTGAACCGCCACGCTGTGTTTCCCTAATGTCAACGCATGCGGCCAACCACACACAGTGGACATGGAGTTCAATTTCTGCTCTTGATCGATGTCCATTGATCTCCATTGTCTGGATAAACAAACAGAACAAAACACTGGTGTCCATTTTGATGGAGACCTTGCTATCGAGGAGAAGCTCCGGGAGCTTTGTGGTCCATATGATGTGGACATGGCCCTCCGACGAATTAATGCACGTTGGTGAGTGGGTTTGGGGACACCAGGGGATGAGGTGACCATGCTTGGGATTTTTGACGTTTTTTTGTTTTTTTTTGAGGTGAAGAACAAGTGAAGAACAAGGTCGGCTACAAAGAACCAAGATTAAACAGCTGAGCTTGTAGAGGCTTTTGGGTCTAGTCTGGTAGAGTTTGCGTGACTATGCTGGGCAAAGAGAGTGACAGATGCTGAGCCGCACTTCTGGAACTGCAGAACAACCACATACGACGTGTTGTTTTTGTGCAGTTTGTGATGATCTAGAGTCTCGTTCAATTTGAGATGTTCGACGACACACTTTCAATAGGAAGATGCGTTGTTAAAGAACTTGTTGCCTCCTCTTCACTCTGCCTTTTGATGGTATGAGATGCTCACTATTTGGGGGGGAATCAGGCAATTCTAACCACTGTAACGAACCACCGCCCAGCAAAGATCCCAGTGATGATAGTGACTGACCTAACCCTTTGTGCTTCAAAACGACCATGGTCAGTCACCACGGGACTGCCGATCGAAACTTAGGCGCGACACTTGCGGCCCCAGTCTTTGCGGGCTCGCTTTGGCGTGGATAACGCGAACAATGGCGCCTGGGACGACGCGAGACGCAGCGAAACACAGCGACACCTGACCTGCGTTGGCGCAGTGGGTCAGGTGGGACATGGGCAAGCCAAGAAGGACGGTTTGAGCTGATGGAAGAGGTGCTTCGGGAAATAACCGTGGCCACCCGTAGCTTTTGCAGAAAGATTTTTCCAGCATTGCTACTGTTTTTGAGGATTTTGTTGAAGTTTTTCGACAGCATGACCTGGTGACATCATTACCTGCTTCTGATAATCTCCATGTTGCTACAGACATGATTTAAGATTTCTTCATTTGGTGTGGAGCCTATCTGCTGAGGCGTCCACGCCACAGATTTGGAGGACGATGCCGAATTTGAGGCTGGAACTGTGGACCTTTTTCATCATATGGTGGCTTCCCTGCTAACACAATCCATTGGAAAGACTTGACTTAGCTGGGGGAACATTTCATGGAACCTTGCCTTCCAGGAAACTTACAATAATTGTTCAGCAGTATGTAAATGCTGTTCAATTCATAGGTTGCAAGTCAGGTACGAGCCCCTTGCCGCTGCTAATCTCAGTTTTCACATTGGCATCATACTGCTTGTGTCCAACACTTTGCGACCAGCATTCCCAACATCCTTTCTTGCAATTCGGACAGATCAACGTGCCAAAGCATTGTCCTGGTCTCCTTTGAGCATGGCAGATTCAACGAGCCTCAGCAAGCTTGTAATCATTGTGACAAAGAGCTAGCCGCAGCGTGGGGGGGACTGACCGCCGCGGCGGAACTCGCGTCGAATGCCGCAGGTGCGGTACGTGTTCGAAATGTTGGCCATCCAGGCAGGACGCTTGGGCCACCGCAGGGCGACGGACCCGGGAGACGGAGGTTGGGAGATAGCTTGGGCACCCCTTGGTTGGTACTGATAGTTCAGCTTCCAGGCTTACACTTTTTCAAACATGCATTGAAAATAATATGTGCTCTTTTTCCCTTCAAGCGTGGCAAGTTTGCTCCTTCCGGTTGAGACTTTGAGCGTCTTGAGCTGTGAACCTATTATTTGTATGACAGATGGGTTCTATTGGTTTCTGCCAGTCTCGGCAACAATCCCACCATTCAGCAACAAAAACACATACAGTACAGTACATCTTGACTTCTAGGGATGAGAGTGAAAGAAACACAAGCCAACAGGGAAAAGGAACTTCAACATGACAGGAATGGTTGCTGAACGATGGTGAAAGAAACCAAGACCACCGGAAAATAGTTGGTGAGGTCATTTCGAGCCATTTCAAAGGTCATTCGGCTGATCTCGACTCAGGCCAGGTAGACGGAGAGCCTTGAAGAGGCGGTAGAGGTTGTGTTTCACCTGGGCGAAAAGAAGCCACAGAGATTGAACGCTGAGATAGGCTAGGACAGCTAGGAAGCCGGTGACATGAAAGATCAAAAGATATTGACAGATGTACCGTGGATGTTTCCTACATACCTCACCACCATTTTGGTGGGGAATTGGTTGACATGAAGGGCTTATTAGTTCTTGAGAGTGTTCTTTTTCGTTGCGGTGTTGGACCGTTGGTTGAAAGGGGTCCTTTGTGGCCGTAGGCGTCCATGGAATGCCATTGCACGGACTGTGGGGGAAAGGCTGCAGAATGCAGAAAAAGAGAGCGATTCGGTGGGACTGCTTGCAAGACCTCCCTAATCTGTTCCAGTGCAGATCGTTCCGAAGAAGTGTGATGTCTGGTCCTTTTTCTTTAGGCCATTTGCTGGGAAATTGGAATGTGCAGCAATTTGGCATGGCGCGTCAGTCCCTCCTCTTGGGAAAAGCTATATATAGTCACATCGTAGAAGTGGGTCTCCACCCCTCCACACTTTCAGAGGTGCTTCGCATGGCTTGTGGAGAGTCCAGTGGGTCACTGCTTCGGCTCCAGTGACGCGACTGGTCAGTCCACGACGGGATCGCGACGACGATGTGGCGGCGCCTCATTCGACCCGCCCGGAGCTTGGTCGCGCGCGCGCGCGCGCCAACCGAATGGGGTCAAGGCAAGCGATGCCAAGCAGCTGGGGATGTACTTCGACAGAACGTCGGGCTTTTTCGTTGGAAGACACCGCTGCAGGAGAGAAGACATGAAGACACAAAGCAAAGTTGGATTTTGCCCGAAGCTTTTCATTGGTTTGCCATTCCAGACATTTTCAGCCAGGGCACGGCCGTGGCCGCCTCCGCTTCGGCGGCCTTCGCAGTCCATGCGCCGAGCCGATGTGATGACAAGGTGGGATTTCAATGAGAGGTTCTGTAGCTTCTTGTTCCTAGTAGTAAGGCCAGTAGCCCCTAGTAGCTTCTTGTTACTGTGATTCCGACAGCCCGTCGCGGCCCGAGAGCGGTAGGAAAAGGGAGTTAGCCGTTGTGCTTTTTCAGTGGTAGCGGAGCCCCGAAAAGGGGCGGTAGGCTAGCTAGGCTAGTTAGTTTTTGGTAGGCTTGAGCCATGGAGGCTGACGCTCTTGGGGCCGCGGCTGACGAGGTGGATTCGACTTCATCGCCTTCGACGGAGGAGTTGCCGATGCCGGTATTCCTCCACCGGCATCGGAGGGGGCTTCATCGGACCTCGAGGATGGTGAGCACGCCACTCCGCAATGCCCAGGCTGAATCGGGAAGCCCGAGATCGTGGAGGACAGCGAGCGGGGAGCGAAGTGGCGAGAGAGGTGATGAAGGAGCTTCCAGTGGAGAGGCGATGAGCCAGGAGTCTGATCCGTGGCTGGGTGGAGACCCTTGGCAGCGCGGACGGGAGAACTATGAGCCCAAGTATGACAACTGGTCATCTCCGAGCTCTTCGGTGAGTGGCAATGGGACATCACGGAGGAGCAGTTCGAAGGACTCTTGGCAATACATTCAAGACACCTCAAGGGAGTCTCGACATGTCTACTGGGCTGATGGTGGATGGAGCCAATCCCAATGGGGTGGATCCCAAGAGGATGACGTGGGGGGTAGCTGGTCTTGGTCCTCTTCAGAATCAGGTTGGTCCGGGACAGGACCAAATCAGTGGGGATGGCGAGATGACCTCGCCAGAAATTGGGAGACTGATTCAGAAAGATCAGGGACCAGCGACTGGTCATCGAGCTCTTGGAAGACAGCCCGAGAAGATGATGGACGGGTTGGTGGTGATTGGGGACGAACTTCATCCGGCCTTCAGGGTGGACAAGAACGAGGTTCTGGTGTATGTGCAGGTGATCGGGCGGCGGCTGGGCGGCCTACGACCGGGGGTCTACCTGCGGAACTTGGAGAGGGTCCTCAAGCTCAGCATGGTGATCCTCTGCGAAGTGAGGCGAGCAGCCGGGGTGAGCATGACAAGCATGATGGCATGTCGCCCATGTCACCAGCGGCTCAACCAGCTGGTGAGTGGAACCGACCCTCAGGACTAGTACCTTCGGGGCAGCCATCAGTGGCCGGAGGCTCAGGTGGTGCAACTGGGGGTTCTTTGAAAGAAGGCACCACCGGGAAGATCTCCACTACATACCCTCCCATCTTCTATGCTCGACCAGGCGAGAGTTGGGAGCAGTACTGGAGGACCGTCACCTTCTGGCTGGCCTCAGAAGGAAAGTCATTGCCGGTGGAGATGAGAGGTCCACGCCTCATGCAGCAGCTGAGGGAGCGTGCCGGCAAGATCGTTCAGCATTTGACGGTGGAAGAGGTGACCTCCGAACAAGGAGTGCAGCTCATCAAGCAGGAAATGGAGAAATCACCAATAATCAGGCTCCTCGACAACAAGAAGATTGACAAGAGACGCCAAAAGTTCATGAAACTGACGAGGTTGGCCAATGAGAGCATCGAGAGTTTCATCAATCGAGCAGAGATCTACCGGCGGGAGAATGAAGCTTCACCTGCATACCGAGTTGGTTCTTGCTTTTATGTTGGTCACTTGCTCGACAGCGCCAAACTGACAAGAAAGGACTTGGCGCTCTTGAAAGCAGCTTGTGGAGGCGATGTCGAGGATGAGACTAAGGTTATCTCCGCGATGTTGGAACTGGCTGTGAACAATTTGAAGGAGCACCACACTGCCCAATTGGTCGTGGTGAACCTCAATTGGACAATGAGGATCAATACCTGATCCAGAAGCCTGGTACCTCATCTTCCTCAACCCCACCTACATCGGCTTCTGAACATACTCCACGTCGACGCCCTTTTTCACGGGGGCGGGGTGGTGGCTTTGGGCGTTTTCGCCGTGGTCGTATTCGAGACGCTCTGGTTGCCATCTTGGAGGAAGAAGATGACGGTGAAGGGATGGCGGAGGAACTGGCTGAGGCATTGGGGGAAGACTCGCTGGATGAAGAGGAAGAGAGAGTAGAACAGGCCAGCGATCTGAATGAGTTCAACGACGTCCTAGTGGCGGGATCTACATCTGAGACTTCATCGGCGGCAACACCCCTGGCGGAGATCTATGCCCAGGAGTATAAAGCCCGGAATCGGGTGCGAGAGATCAAAAAGATGAGGCAATACTTCCAGAAGGAGGCACCGGGCGGTCCAGCAGCGGCGAGGAATGAACATGTGAAGAAGTGGGTGGCCGAGCAGCAGAAGAAGGAACCCTGCTTCATTTGCCACCAACTAGGACATTGGAGCCAAGAGTGCCCATACCGTCGCAAGGAGAAGCCAATGGTTCACTCCGCAAATGTGACTTTTCCTTCGTCACAGCCACAGCAAGAAGACTGGGCTTTACTGGAGACGTTGGTGTCAGCTGGAGTGTACATGGTGCGACACAGCGGGGGGGGACCAATCGGTGAGACCACCCATGAAATCTTTTGGGCACTGGACGAATTGGCTGGGCAACAACACTCCAAGATGATTGTTGACTTGGGATGTATGAGGACGGTGGCAGGGACTACTTGGATCAACCGAATTGTACCACAGTGGAAAGAGAAGAAGTGGTTCATCAAGGTGGTCCCGGAAGCAGAACAATTTCGTTTTGGGGATGGTCAAGTCGTTCAAAGCAAGTTTGCCGTTCTGCTTGAAGTGGCGATAGCGGGCATCCATGGTGTGCTTCGTATATCGGTCGTGCACGGAACGTGTCCACCGTTACTGTCCAAACCAGTCTGTTCAGCATTGGGTCTGGTCATAGACACGGCTTCACACGCAGTGTCATCACGGAAGTTTGGTGTGAAGGGGTATGGCCTGGAACAATCCAAAGGTGGACACTATGTCATTCCCATCAACGATTTTGGAGACACGACGACGATGTCGATTTCGAGTGATTTTGTGATGCAAGCGCACAAAGAGATTGTGGTGATGTCCGATCCGCGGGGCTCAGCAATTCGGGATCGGGATCCGGACGCCCCCTCCTCACCTGCGGAGCTTGCCCATGTCCACGCGCCGGAAGACTGGAGATCCGGAGGTCTTCGAGCTCAGTCAGCAGGAATGGGAAAACGTGGGGCAGGACAACGAGTTGGAAGAGATGTCCGCCCAAGAGGAAGACACGACCGGGGTGGCATCCCTGAGGCATCCGATGAGGACAATGAAGCGACAGTCATTGAATCGCATGCTACGGAAGCCAACATCCACCAGTCCACCGGGGCGCAAGCCCATGAGCAAAATGACCAAGGGCCGGGACAGCAAGACACCGGAGCCGGATCACCCTGCTTCGAGTTCAGAGGCACAGATGAGCATGGCCCAGATCCAAGCCATGATGGTGCGAATGCAGGAGATGATGATGGCTCAGGGCATGTCCAGGGAGCAGGAAATCGAGGGAGATCAGGGGCACGATCCGGGTCAACGACATCGAGGACGGAGTCAAGAGCCCGCGAAGACCAAGGACAAGGTGAAGAAGACACCCAGGGCGGTGAGGACGGCGGCCCTCACGGGAGACGAGGCGCCGTTTCCTTCTCTGTCGACACAGTTCTCGGACGACCCAACGATGAACCTCATGATCAGTCTGCGGTCGCAGACCCTCACGTTCAAATGGAAGCTTCTCCTGCTCATGTTGAGGATCAAGCATGCGGTGGAGATGGAGAAGCGCCGGTGGAAGCGCAATCCAAGGTGGATCATGAAGATGCACGGCAACCACATTGCGAGCCTATGGGGCCACCTGGGAGCGGCAAGGCAGCTGTGCTATTCCCCGAAGGTGGCTTGGCTGGCCCAGTGATGCAGGAGGAGACCTCGACTGCTGAACAGGAGGCTCGGCGGATGGACCGGCTCGACCTCGTCATGGGCACCCCGGGTTCCGAGTCGGCCATGGACGCCTTCCATGTGGTGCCCGACTATGAGATTGTGAATGACAACGGTGGCGACTATGAGATTGTGAATGACAACGGTGGCCAGACTGACGATGAGCAGGGTGCTTCAGCGTCAGTGGATGAGGAGACGGGAAGACACAAACACACCTTGAATCGGAGACAGCACCGGACCCTGGTTCAAGGAGTCCAGAAAGCATTGCAGACTCACTCAAAGATCTTTGATGTCCTGGACGCGAAGTCGGCTCAGGTCAAAGCTTGGACTTTGTTTGAAGTCTTTGCAGGCTGTGCCCGTTTTTCTCAACGGGCAACGCACCGTCGCAATGCTTGCTGGGATGTGTTACCCCCACAAGACATCCTGTACGGGCTGGATCTTTTGAAGGAAGCTGAACTGGAGATGCTTAAGGATGTCATCAAGACCCAACGCCCCGATGTTGTCACCGTGGCTCCTCCCTGTGGCCCATGGTCTTCCTGGCAACGGATGCGCAAACGGACGAGTGCCTTGCGGGACCTCCGTCGCCAACACCTACCATTTTGGGATTTTGTCACATGGCTTTGGGAGTTCCAATGTTCCACCGGGGGGTTGGTGGTACTAGAACAGCCGGCCTCTTCTGATGCTTTGCGACTGCCAATGATGACCCGTCGCCGGCGAGTTCATCAACGGGTAGTGCACATGTGCCGCCTGGGGATGAGAGATCAAGTCACGAACAAGCCTCACAAGAAACCAACCGTGGTGCAGATGAACCATGCTGCCATCACGACTGAGATGTTCCCTCAGCGCCTATGTGAATGCCAACCGGGTGAACACCAGCCGATTGAAGGATCTGTCCAAGTCTGGGATCAGCAACTGGGCAAGATGAAATCGGTGAGACGATCAACACTGGCGGCACAATGGCCTGATGGGTTTTGCGACTGGCTGCTGAGTGGATTGGAGGCTCTGATGGATGAGAATGAGAGTATGAAGGTCGAGCTCCATCAACCTACACCTGATACCAGGGTGTGGGAGGCAGTGCCCGTGGAGGTGGAACCTACGGCAGAAGGACAGTTAAGGCAA